TCGACAGTGAATAACTCTGTCAACAGATAGAGATAAGCAGGGATAATGAAAAGTTGAACTATCTCTGAGAAGAATACTATGTTCAGCTTCAGCCGTGTTTCGTGTTTTACTTTGGCTTGAGTGATGCATCATACATCTTGCCTATACGTGAAGATCCGGGTTGGAAATGGTCTTCAGCAAGCCATGCTTGTCGTAAGAGGCAGCTAACGATATCGGGAGGCCAGGACGCTGACTTGGTTAATTGCATGTCATCGTATCCTAATTGCCTAGAACGGTGCTCATGATGTTAATCACTGGATTGTCTGCTCCAGATTCGCTGATATACAGACCGTTGTCATATAGATTGAATATTCCTGAATGCGGCGTAAAGCAACAAACAAGCTTAAATGTTGCCCAATACCACCGTGGGATATCCAAGGAGAATCGGTTAGTTGCGATGTGTGACCCGACTGTGTGTTACCATGTTAGTCTGGGGCACGGGTGGCCCAGTCGTCTTAGGCGCCGCGATTCGCTGTGCAGAGTTGCGTCCCTTGGGCACGCCAGAAACCTATGATTGTGGGTTCGAATCCTGGTTCGACCCGATTATGTTTCTAGGTTTGTCAGCACCATACCCGTGCTCGTGGGTTTCACCGAAGTGGTAAACGTCTGAGACCTGCATCACTTCGGGCTCTCCTCCCACATTAAGCTGACACGCCTTGATATAACTTGAATACTGTTAAAAGCGGCGTTAAACCAAACTCACTCACTCACTCACTCACTACCATGTTGTTCTTGCTATTAACCAATGGCATTCGTTGCTCGGATTATTTCAAGGCCGCTAGTTATAGCTGAAAATATGTAAGCGATTCGTAAAATAACATTTGCTCTTTCAAACATGAAATTATTCATTCTTGTGAAATAAGTGAGAGATAGGGAACCTATGGTGGATAAGGTGGATGAGGAAAAACATAGATGCAAATGAAAACAAGACCCCATATAAAAGACTAATACCACTAAACCACACGTGTAACCCACATAACGTAACCACACCGCTCAACCAAACTGTTTACCCACTCCACTCACCTACACCCCCCAAAACCGAAACCACTAGGTGCCACAACTAACCTACACCACTCAAAAAGACCACTAACCTACGCCACTAACACACACCAGTCACACGCGCCACTAACACACATCACTAGCACTACCACTAGGTGCCACAACTAACCTACACCACTCAAAAAGACCACTAACCTACGCCACTAACATACACCAGTCACACGCGCCACTAATACACACCACAAACCTACACCATTAACAACCCACGAACATACGTCACTAATACACACCACTTACACGCCACTGACACCCCCGCTAACACACACCACTAACACACATCACTAACAAACGCCACTAATACACGCCACTAACACACCACCAACACCCCCCGTTAACATACACCACTAGCACACACCACTAATACACAGCAGTAAAATACATAACAACCATACACCAGTAACACACAGCAGTAAAACACACCACTAACACACAACAGTAACACACACCACTCACACACAGCAGTAAAACACACCAGTAACACTCAGCAGTAACACACACCACTAACACACAACAGTAACACACACCACTCACACACAGCAGTAAAACACACCACTAACACACAGCAGTAAAACACACCACTAACACACAACAGTTACACACACCACTCACACACAGCAGTAAAACACACCAGTAACACACAGCAGTAAAACACACCACTAACACACACCACTAACACACAGCAATAAAACACAGCAGTAACACACACCACTAACACACAACAGTAACACACACCACTCACACACAGCAGTAAAACACACCACTAACACACAACAGTAACACACACCACTAACACACAGCAGTAAAACACACCACTAACACACAGCAGTAACACACACCACTCATACACACCAAATATACACGACACAAACACACACCACTAACACACACCACAAACCTCACCACTAATACACACCAGTAACACACACCACTAACACACGCCACGTATACTCGCCACAAGCATACACAACTAACACACACCACAAACCACACCACTAACACACACCAGTAACACACACCACAAACCACACACCAGTAACACACGCCACTAACATACACCAGTAACACAGGCCACTAATACACGCCACTAACACACCACCAACACCACCAACACCCCCGCTAACACACGCCACTAACACACGCCACTAATACACAGCAGTAAAAGACATAACAACCATACACCAGTAACACTCAGCAGTAACACACACCACTTATACACACCAGATATACACACCATAAACACACACCACAAACACACACCACTAACACACATCAGTAATACACGCCACTAAAACACGTCACTAGCACTCACCACTAGCACACACCAGTAACACAGGCCACTAATACACACCAGTAACACACACTAGTAACACACGCCACTAACACACATCACTAGCACACACCACTAGCACACACCAGTAACACAGGCCACTAATACACACCACTAACACACGTCACAACTATACACCAATTACGCAAACCACAAACCACATCACTAATACAAACCACTAACACACACCACAAATCACACCAGTAACACAAGCAACTAGCACACACCACTAAGTTACATTACTAACCCACGCCACTTAACCACACAACCAATTCACACCACTCACCCACAGCGCTCACCAACATCACGAACCCACGTACCCTAAACTTCATCACCAACACACCACTAACACACACTACTAACATACACAACTAACATGCATAAACTAACACACACCACTAATCCACACCACTAATCCACCCACATTATACACTAATGCCAACCTACATCACTAACCCACTCCTCTAAACCACACCACTGACACAAACCACTGACACAAGTTACTTACTATAAAATTTACCCACACCGGGAGATAACCCATACCATACCATATCAGAACAAAATAATCGCACTCTTCGCCCCCTTCTCCGATGCAAAGAAATGTTGGTCTATCCCAGTTAAAGTCAAGATCAATATCAAACCCAGTAGAACGTGTGTAGCCAAAGAACCTATCAGTAGACAACCAGCATCCACCTAGACTAGCCCCGAAATAAGACAAACTATTGCGGAGTACCCAAAGTTTGTTCGTTTGTTGTTTAACCCTGCACTCCACAATATTCCAGCTATATGACGGCGGTCTGTACATAATCGAGTCTGGACCAGACAATCCAGTGATTGATGTCATGAGCATTGATCCACGCAATTGGTATACGATGACATGCATTAACCAAGTCAGGATCCCGTTAGTCGCCTCTTACGACAAGCATAGTCGCCTTTAACGGCAAGCATGGGTTGCTGAAGACCTATTCGAACCCGGATCTTCACAGGGCGAAGTACATGTACCTACCCAAATACAAATCAGAGTAACGAGGACAAGCGGAGACAACTCATGCACAAAAGAGAGAGAGCGTGTGCAGAGCTTGACACATCATCTCCTTTGTTCTTCCGTCTGAGACCAGCTAAGCATCTCAACCACAGCAGCGACACCAACACCTGCGTCCTCCAAGACATTTCTGCTGCAGAGACAGGACACTGAGACGTTTCTGCTTCCGGTGCTTAAACTCCATGGATCCCGTCTCAGTAAACGTATTCAGAACACTTTGCTCCAAACATAGCGTGATTATCGTTTAAGTTGATGGACAGGCATTCAATGTTATTCCCTTGTAATCTGATACATGTATACACGTGCTGTTATGAATGTTATGATGTGCAGTTTCATGACTGACAGTATAAATGGTATGATTATTAAGTCGTACCTATCAGTGAGTGAGTGAATTGGGTTTAAAGCCGCTTTGAACAATATTTCAGTTATAAAACACGTGTCAGGTAAATGTGGGAGAAAAGCCCGAAGTGATGCAGGTCTCAGACGTTTACCATTTTCGTGAAACCAACGTAGATGGATATGGTGCCGCCGGACAAACCTAGAAACAGAATCGGGGCGAGCCGGGATTTGAACCCACGATGATAGGTTTGTGACTTTCCAAAGGGACGTAACATTGCGCGCCGAATTTCGGCACCTAAGACGACTGGAAAACCCGTGCCAGTGTTGACAATGTATTGTGATGAAACATTTCACAGCGATTCAGATTTAGGCCACTCGGGTTGTTTTTTAATGAAAGTATTTAGGATTCGTTTATTGTGAAATTTCCTGGTGATATACAATAGAAATCAGCCCGGAGAATCTCTTAATTTTTAGATACTAATTATGAAAAAATCTAAACCAAACTATCACAGATCTGCTTAGATTCTATGGGTATTGTATGAGAGACTGTAATTGTCGGTTCGTGCCCATCTTCATTAGAAATATTTTCTTTCAAGAATAAACGTACGTTTTCCTCTTCCTCTACTCGAAAAACAACAAAGGCCAAGGCTGATTTGACTCGGACGAACCAAAAACACTGCCAATGAAAAGCTAAAAGGGTTTCTTTGTGTTATCATAAAAATACAAAGCCCCCATTTACCCAGACTTTAAATACACGTTCACGTCACGGCCGAGGTACGTGACTGTTATACTGTTCAAACGTCGTAGCACGTTTGAAAATGGCATTAAAGCAAGAGACCCAACGGGAATATTTACAAAAATAGTATTACAAATATTTGAGGAGGACTTTGATATTTACAGCATGTCAATAAAACCACAGAAAATAATTATCCCCAAACCAAAACAACACATGCAAATCATTAAAGCAAATGAGGAACCCGTGTTCCATGCAATTCAATTATGTTTATACCACGTAATCAACAGAACAGCTTTAAACTCATGCCCAGGCGAGACCAATGAAAAAGTCCCCCTGATCGCTGTGATTAATCGATACATATCAATAAAGTCATCAATGCTGATCGATCGGTTGGCTGAGAAGCTGGGCGCAACAGATGGCTGCTGAGCTGAATCAATGCCTATCAGTGTAGCGTAGTTGCTGCTCACAGTTACCCAGTCCGATGGCTGGCCGAGCGAGATTGTAGCAACGCAAAGATTTGGTTGCGGATTTTACCAAACGCTTGGGAGATCTAGGAGACCACTTGAAGGTAAGAATACCCGTTTTATGGTTGCTCAAGATCAAGGAGCCCTGCGTTGATACCAGGATACATTGGAGACGCAGAATCTGGCTTCAAGTACATGTCTTCTTCATTGTTAAATTAATTGTTTAATAGACATGCCAATGTGGTTTATTGGGGATACAGTTATTGTTCATTGACAATGGTATGTGCGTAGTTCACAGTGTTTTCGCAAGGTTTGTACGTGGTACTGTATTTGGTAAAATAGAGCTTGTAAAGGTGTTTCGCTTCACGCTTTACTGAGTCGCACATTTTAATTTTGTGAGTGTATGCATTATGCAATTGTTAGGGCTGTGAGGCATCAGGATGCTGATCGAATTTCCATATTGTAGCAGCTTTATTGCCAGCACATCCGTTCTACGTAATGGTAACATAGAAACTCTGTTGATTAACACCGTGGAGGTTGCAATCCTTTATGAATGAAATTGAGGAGCGGGTCTAAGACGTAATTCTGACTGCGGGAGAAAGTGTACTGAAGTTCTGTAGATAACGAGGCGTGTCCAACTGTACAAGGGATGTATGAGAATAATTTTAGTGAGTGGTGAGTGAGGGTGTTATGAGTGAGTGAGGGTGTAGCGCCGATATGAATAGTATTTTAGTTATATCACGGCGTGTCAGCTTGAGGTGGGAGGAAAGCCTGAAGTGATGTACGATGTTTACGATTTTGGTGAAACCCACCAGCTCGGGTAGGATGCTGACACACCCAGAAACATAAGGATGAACTACCTATAGCATCACACAAACTGACATACACGCTATAGAAGAATGCGATTTATTGATCTACAGTAGCATGTGTTTACAAAAACACGTTAAGCTTTAGAAGTAGGTAACTACACGAATACAACACAATACAACTTCATGATAAAGTGGCTAACTTTGAAGATGTTTACTGTGTTCAATTAAATGTGTCTATTTCATTTAATTTTAAATTGATTGACACAAATATGAAAGTTAGCATGGTGATAGGTACTTGCTCTGTACACATAATGGCAAAACTGATTGCCCGGTCACGAGACACGTACGTCCACGAGGGGGGGCGTTCCGATTAGTCCCTAGTGTGACCACCGTGTCCTGTCATCACTGCTCTACACCTAAGCACAGACTGAATTAAATCTGCGGAGTCTGTCCTGTGGAGTTCTCCTCCATTCTTCCTGCAACGCGTTGGCCAGTTGTGCAAGTGTCTGTGGCGTATGTTGACATTGACGTTAACGTCTATCGCGTTCATCCCACAGATGCTCTTCGGGTTCAGATCCAGAGATCTGGAAAGCAATGGTAAGACATTGAAGTTTGAATTATGAAGAAAGTCAACAGTGACACGAGCTGTGTGAGGTGTGGCGTTGTCATGTTGACTCAACACCCTCTGTCAGTTGATAATCGGAAGATGGTGGCGTTGAAGATCTCCGTGTGTAGGATATGGCTGCCCACGCCATCACACTTTCGCCACCGATTATGTCGACCTGTCGAACGCAGTTCGATACAAAACGTTCATTTCGACGTCCGTAGATACGTTGTCTTCCACCACGGCTTTCGGGGGAGAATTCGTGATTCATCACTGAACTAGACTCACCGCCAGTTTCTCATAGTCCATGCATGTACGGTGTTGCTCCGTCAAATACGTTGTCGTCGATGCAAACGTCTAAATACAGGGACAAATACCGGTTCAGGGGCTAATTCCCACCTCTCGTAGACGATTCTTGATTGTTTGGTCCGATACTCTTCAAACCAGGCACATGTCCTGCAGTCTCGATGGTACTAGCATATCGATGACGTAAGTTAAAGACCCACATGTAGCGATTTTGTCCAGGGCTGGTGACACTTGGTCTACCACTTCTTGGGCGAGCTTGGGTTGAATTTAGGCGGATATACCAATCCCATAAACGTGAAATGCTGTTCTGGTGTACGTTGAAATGACGTGCAACTGGAGACTGGGACTCTCCAGCTTCAAGACGTCCTATGGCGATGTTGCATGTGTGTCTCGGCATTGTCCCACTTCCGAAAAGTCGACAAAATGTTGACTGACGTTTGACCTTCAACAGTCATTGTCACTGCACATGATTGTCACAACTTGCACGTGCATTCTGCTTTTAATTTCCCTTTTAAAATATTGCATTTCTATTTCATGAATATTCATAATCTACATTTTCATTACCTCCCATACGTTACTTTCTTTTGATTAGCGTAATAATGATAATAAGGAGAAGAAGACACTATATTGACATATGAAAGGTGTGCACTCTCTTATGAAACAATGATCTGAACATATGTCACGCACAGAGTGGTCGGGGAGTATACAACCCAAGCGCCTTTGAGGCGCTAGAAGGTTAACAACCACAATGTCATTTCAACTAACCGGGTACCCATTCAACACAGGGTGAACAGAGGCTTGTCATAAGAGGCGACTAACGGGATCACGTTGTCAGTCTTGCTGACTTGGTTGATGCATGTAATCGTATCCCAATTGCGTGGACCGATGTTCATGAGGTCAACCACTGGATTATCTGATCCAGACTCGATTATTTACAGACCGCCGTAATATAGCTGGAATATTGCTGAGTGCGGCGTCAATATCAAACAAACAAAATAATCGGATCTGGACCAGAACAAACCAGTTTGTGATATTAGAAGTACTCCCAACGCCGCCGGGATACACTGACACACAATCAACCAAGTCAGTGAGTCTGATCACAGATCTGATTAGTTGTATCTTACGACCAGCATAGATTACTGGGGACTAATTCTTACCCGGAATACCTACAGATAGGAAACTAACGGTTAAGGAGCTACCAAAAGACGTTAAAAGATTGTACTTGTTGTTACCCTGTCTGGCGCTCGGCATTAAGGGGCTAAAACAAGGACTGGTCGACTCGGAGTCAGTATACTGTGTCTGAGTGGGGTGTTCATGTTAAACTGCGGCATGGTATCTCAGTGAGCTAGGACTCTAAATTGGCATCAGTCCGGACTTGTACAAGCAGCCACACAAACACACGTGCATGCACGTCGCTATATCAGTGCAATAATCTTGGACGCGACGTTAAACCCCATCTCAGGTTGAGGAGCTAAACATGCCACAAGTTAAAGAAAAGGAAACAAAGTATTGCAGATCTTGTGAAACGTGCATTTAAATAATCGTCCTACCTCTACTCTAATATGATACATACACTGGTAGCTTCGTTGCCATGGCTTCGTTTGGGAAGTGACGTGAGTACATCTGCATCTCTATCTGTTTCTTTCATCAATATCTCTCTCGCAAATTTGAGCAATTAAATTGGATGGCTATGAGCGTCGTGTCGGACGAAACTATGTTATCCAGTGGACCCAGGGCATAATGTTAACATAATTGAGACTAAGACACTGGATAATCGAGGGTCGTAAAGATTGTGGAGAAACATTTCAATAACTGATCATCATCAGTAATGGAGACTTTCCAGTCACAAAGATGGGCGGCGTAATTATACCTACTGGGAAAATTATATTGCTGTGCCTAAAGACATCTTGGATGCAGGCTGGCTGAGAATGAGATATCGAATGAAATAGATTAATTATTAATAGATATACTGATACTACAGACATTTGATAGTACGCGATAGTCCCGGATAATGCTAACATCCTCTCCGGGACTACAGAGCAGCTGAGAAGGACGTGGTCAGGATGTAACACATCGTATATTGATTTCGCCTATTCAGATATCTTTACTCTAGTTAAGAAATAAACGACGAGATGGAGTTGTTTATCGTGCAATAACACACTCTTGGGAGAATAAACCATGAGGGGCGCGAATCGTTTATTTCTTATATGATATATCATACATGCACATTCTCTTTAAGGATGTTCATAAAATGTACAAGCTTTAAAAGTATTTATTTTTTTAGATAATGATGGCTCCCTGAACATAATCCGACCTCGGCAATGTCGGACAAGTCCGTTTTATAAACAGGGGGGTGGGGGTGGGGGGGGGGGTAGTAATTTTGTATTTCCCAGATATTCTCACAATTATCACGTCGACAATTTATACCTATTCTCCCCCAAAGTCGATTGTCATATATCTCCCACGTTTGGGTGAGATCGTTCGGCCATTGCGTTTATTTACGTTGACCGGTTACATCTAGGAGGAACAACTCACTAGACACTTCCCTCTCAAAAATAACGTCGTCCAATTTACGAGCGCATCTTCGAATCTCCAGAAATGACGTCATGATAGAACAATGTTTTATCGTGCAATAAACCACGCTTCGCTCTTCATTGCTCTTTGCGATTTATCGAGAAGCTGTCTTATGTTAAGTGATACACGCTCTTGCCAATACACGCTGTTGAATATATACATTATTGGTGATTAGCGGCGGTGGGGTAGCCTGGTGGTTAAAGCGTTCGCTCGTCACGCCGAAGGCCTCGGGTTCGAATCCCCACATGGGTACAATATGTGAAGCCCATTTCTGGTGTCCCCCGCTGTGATATTGCTGGAATATTGCTAAAAGCGGCGTAAAACAATACTCAATAAATCATATTGGTGATCATCTGAAAATAGACCTTTTGTAATAAACATCCTTCTACAGTAAACTACGGTTATAACGAACTCAAAGGGACCACAAATTTTAGTTCGTTATAACCATAGTTCGTTATAAGCATATATACAGCATATATACAGCAAATGTACGGGATCCAAAAAACAGTTCGTTATATCCACCGGTTCGTTATAACCGTGTTCGTTATAAACGTAGTTTACTGTATATTGGTATTAAGACAGTTTGATGAAACACCTACTTTATCTTAAGGATAAATAAAACAATTTAAATCTATGCTAAAAGTAGAGTCTATTTCCTCCAAAGAAATACTGTTAATTTCCCTGAAGAGTGAATCAGAAGGCTTTCTGTTTACTGTCACTTTCCACTCGTCAATTCCAAGCCGTCGATGTGTGATTTTGCATCAAAATGTAAATATGAAATATACATTATGCAATGAATTTAATGAGACTG